GAAACGAGAAGTTAGGATTGTTACCCACTTGGCACTGGACAAGTCTGTCCACCCTCTGACTTTGACAGATGTTGCATTTTGTGACAGACACTTGCCAGATTTGAACTCGAGAGAATCAGTCGAAATGAAACAAGCCAGTCCGTTCGATTTACCCCTTGTTACGTCTGATGAAGACAATTTTCAACCCTCAAAGTAAGATTCCTTTCAACCATCCAAAGCACAAAAAACCTACGCAGTTTAAATGTCTGGGATTTTTTGTTTTTAGTTGTGTTCGTCTTAAGTGAATGTAGAATTCTGGCTTCCGACTCAGGGACTTCATGTTGTAAGTATGTAGGCTAGGTCTGGTTTTTTCACCATTAAGTCCTTGATGCTTACTCGTCATTTGAATTAATTTTAACGATTCATGGTAAATATTTTTAAACGTTGTATCATTTGTTAACTTCAAAAAGCAAAGACATTTTTTAATCATCATTACTTTAACTAGGCATTTGTCGCAAATTTTAGTTGTCCTGGGTGTGTTTCACAAAGATCCTAAATCGACCGTAACTCAAAGTTGGACTTTAAAATATGGAGAGCCATTTGTAGCCTAGAAATAAAATATATTCAAAAGCAAAAATTAAGGTATGTCAGACTTTTCACAAATTTCACATCAAGAACATGATATCTCCTTGATAATAGAAAATATTAATGATTTGATTCAACATTTTAGGCCTTTTAAAATAATTTTTACAACATATTTTCATAGGTACTAATGGCTTTCCATAATTGTTAAGTCCAACTTAGAGATAAGATCAACTTAAGGTCTTTGTGAAACACCCCCCCCCCTGCTTCTGTAAATAAATGCTTCATATCTTCCAATGTCGAAATTGATAAATAATGGGAAATTAATACTGAAAAAAGGCGGATTGAGGATTCTATAAAAGGGTACAATAATTGATAAAAATAATAGACCCCTATTCAGTGTCCTCCTATATAAGTAAAGTATTTGAAACTGGCATTTTGGATAAGATAATTACATAAAGGGTGCGCGCAAATCACCCAACATTAGCACTTGTGACAATTGCTCCGGACTTTATTCACTCAAAGATAATGTTAGGGGATCGTTATTATTAGGGTTTGGATTCGGCTAAGCTTTAGGCTTCTGTTTAGGTTTAGGCTAATGCTCAATTAGGTTAAGGCTTCTGGTCATGGTTAGGGTTTGGATGCAATTGTCTTATGATAGGTTAGGTTTAGACTAAAGGGTAAAGTTGGGTTAAGTGTTTGTTTTAAGGGTTGAAAAGAAGTGCCCGGCCAGTGTCAGTATATGACATCTATAAATACGATGCACTTGCCGCAGGAGCACCTGCCATAGAGGATTTGAAGTTCATAAAATAATATAGATTTATATACCTCTCTTTAGAAATCTAGCCATCTGAATGGTCGAAATTGCAGTCGTGATTTTAGCCATTCCCCTCATACCCGTCAATAGTCTTTTGAAAAGTGCCCTCATACCCGCTTACCGGTCAATAGTTTTGTTAAAGATGCACGTTGCCCCGGGGAACAGGCCGCATAAATCAGATTCCAATTGGTTTACGTGTTAAATTTTTTTGCGCGAGCGCGGACACCATACAGTGCTTTCTGTCTGCGATTCCCAAATGATTAAAACTTTCAGCCTTTTTTCCAGCGAAGTTAAACAGGCAGTTTCTCAGATTTTCCGTGATGTTTTAACCAATCTTTACTCAATAAATGGATAAGGTAAGAATTCTTGTTAGATTATTGTTTCAATTCGGCATATAAAAGACATATCGACTGCTTCAATATTCAATACATCTTGCCATGACCCCTCGGCGCATGGCAAGATTTCCGCGCGTTCCCTTGAGCCCATAAAATAGCCAGGCTTCTCAAAGCAGTCGATATCTCTATGATATTGACTGTTATATACCTCACTTAAGAAATCCATCCATCTGATTGATCGAAATTGCAGTCATGGTTTTAGCCATTCCCGTAAATAAACGAAAAAATGCCAACCCAATGTAATAGTTCGAGGGTAAAATTCAAGTTACCGGGAAAATAGTTCAGTCTTGCTTAAAAACTGGTTTGAGCGATCGCGGATACCATACATTGTGTGTGTGTGCGAATCGGTGGTCGCTAGACAGCAAGAACGCCAAAAGGGTAAATGAATTAGTCTTATTATTAGCCGTAGATCTAGGTCCAGATATAGATTGTGATTTTATTGTTTGCGGTAACGGTGATACAGGTATTGAAGATTGTATAAAGCAAGCGTTTGAATTCATTTGGTGGATGAAAAGTCGAATTCTACGCTGTTTTGTGCGTCATTGCAGCGCTGAATTTGGTGTGTTTGTCGCTAATTTTTGACAAATTTAGATAGCTTTCCTGATGGTATTTCATGCATAATTTCTGTTATATTGATAAGCATTGATTCTTGTCCTTACCTTTGACTTGTTTCTTGTCTGTCATAGTCATTTAATAGATGAATTACTTGAATTCTTAGCACATTTCAGTAACACAAAAAAATCCAGCCCGTTCATAGTCCCACGAACGTATTTGTATGTACCTTGTGCCCTTACACTGCTCAGTCTGCTGTCTCGATAGCGTAAACAAACTTGATTATCATGATTGGTAAGTCGCACATGTATTCTATGACCCTTTCCGGTAAATACAAGTATTAATAACTGCTTTAATTTTCGAGACATAGTTGTTTTTACACGCTCTCGGGAAGGTTACAATCGAGCTATTGCCCTCGGCAAGCCTCGGGTAATAGCTCGATTTTAACCTCCCCTTGAGCGTATAAAAACAACTATGTCTCTCAAAGCAGTCATTAATACTATACTATACTATGAGATGTCATGGCAGGATGCAACGTCCCCGAGAGCCATTATAGAAACAACTATGTCTCCAATATTAAAACAGTCCATAATGTCTTATATATACCGAATTCACAAAATAATCTACAAAGAATTCTTACCTTATCTTTTTCTTGAGTAGAGATTAGTTAAAACATCACAGAAAAATCGGTGAAACTGTCTGTTAAACTTCACTAGAAAGTGGCTTGAATGTTACGATCATTCGAAAATCGCACACACTTATTTTACCAGGGTCTAGTGATATGGAATTAAATTTCCTCTAACATTTAGAATAGCTCTTCAGTATCTGTTTTTTTTTGTGTTCCTTTTTATGTGTTTTGTGTTACATATTGTATATCTTATTTTCTCAAAGGGTTGACCTCTAACAAGGTTTATTTCCTTTTTGGCTACTGCCTTCCACATTTTTATAATTCATTTTGGTTATTTTCATACATTTGTCTGTTTATATATGTATTTTTATCTGCTTATCTCTTGAGGAGAAATAAATGAAACTGAAACTGAAACTGAAGCGACCAAATCGCACACGCACTATATGGTAAACCAATGGTATCTCAGCAAACGGGCATCTTTCTCATGAACTATTGACCGTTACTGGCATTGTGCGTTTCTTTACGGGCATGGCAAAAATTACGACTACAACTTCGACCAATCAGATGGCTAGATTTCTTAAGAGAGGTTAACCCTCTCTCCTACCCCACCCCCCATAATTGCCGACAGTGGTAGCGCCCTTTTCCCAATCCCATTAGCTTAATTTGTTAATTCGTTAGTCTTCAAAACTCACTTTAAAAAAGAAGAGTATTTTCAACAGATTTTAAGCCTCAGTTTAGTCTCTCCTTCTTTACGTTATTTGTTATGTTGATCTAGAATGCTATGAATAACATAAAACAAATGAGCAGAAAGAGCCAGAAAACTACGGAAAAAAATTCTGTGGGGATATGACTGGATCCCTTAAGAAAAGCCTTTTTGGACATGCCCGTAAGATGCAGATGCCGTGTGATAAACAAGCCATCATTTGACTTCCATAATGATACCGTGGTGATGTTATTAGGGAACTGCAAGCTTATAGTTTGTTATCCATGTATACTTCCTCGCTCATCGATATGGCCTTCAAAACATATAAAGAAACATAAAAGGTGAAACGGATATCTGGAACCTTGCCAACATAGAAGAGGAAACATCTGGGCTTACTTAATGAATTCAATTCTTTTACGGTTTTGAACTGGAAACTGAAAGAAAAAAAGAAATCAGACATATCAATGACAAACACGATGATATGGCCCATCAGCAAACACATTATGACAGTCGGTTAGCACTGCTTTAAAAAATGGTTATATTCCTATTAAGTGCTACCTGTGATAAACGGACAAACGTGTCAAAACATTAAAGATAACATTGATGATTGTGATTAAATTGTGTGAAAGAAACGGACCGGAATCATTTGAGTAAGATTGTTTAGTAGTACATACGAATTGATGTTTACCGTAAGGATTTGGAATGGCCAAAATAAAAGAAACGGACCCAATTCTAATGAAAATACACATGCACTCAACTATTTAACACAATTGGTAAGAACCCCAATACGAGGGTAGTTATGTGTTCGGCCAATTTCGGGCTTTTTCTTTTAACCCATCATGATTTTATATCGTTCCGTTTAAAGGGTCCCAACAAATATTAATCACTCCACTTCAAAATGGACAAAGCTTTACCCAAGCTGGAAAACAAATTCCCTCAATTATTTGTCCCTCCTACGCATAATTATACCCTCGTGGCAAACTTTTACCCAATATTTTGAAGAGCATAAGTACAGGAAGTGAGAATGAGCACCTACACACGCATGCGGCATGAAAGTTTAATCCAAACTTTTCAGCCATATTTGGAGTACGAGGGCATATGAAGAGCAATCTTTTCCAGGGACGTTGCTGCTATATTCTTCTTGCAGACCACCATACAAAGAATGTGAAAGCTTATTAACAAACTTTAATCTTTATCAGAACTGAACCTTCTCTTTGATTTTTGTTAGGGGGGGGGGGGGTGTGACAGTCCTAGCCGCCCGCCCTCTATTTTAAATCCAGGTATATACAAGTCGAAGGATGTGCGCCCTCCTTCACTTTGAGGTGATGGCCATTTTCTTTTATATTCAAGTCACCAAATTCAAAGAATAGTTTGCTCCCCCTTTTTTTTAAAAAGAGGCTGGATCCGTTCCTGAACCGGGAAGGAGAAAATGGGTACCGAGCTGATAAAAGAAGTCAGTGCTTTGTTTGCAATCATTCGGAGAGAAACAGTCGATGGCGAGAAGACTCCACTCACTCTATTTGAAAGAAGAAAAACAAATCATCATTAGATCATCACCAAATAGTGGCGATAAACAGTGCCCAGCCAAACCTGCTCGGAGAAGATGAAGTTGACAATTTGTTTCATCATATCGGCGGTCCTTTACACGCCAACCCTCGGCCTCGGGGCACACGAGATCCGTAAGTTGAAAGCAAGAAGTTACCACGCATTTATTCTTTATGTCTAATTCTTAGTTTACAGCCATTTCATGGGGATGTAATAATGATTTTTGTTTGATAATTTAGTTGTTTAATATTTTATGTGCATGTTTTGATAAGTAGTTTTCATTAAAGTAGTCTGAAGGCACTACCCCTTTGTTCCATAAGGTAGTTTACGTTTTACTAACCATTGCCAATGACCATACTAAAACACTAAGTCTTTCTTGGCGTTATAACTAACTGTAACATGGTGGAATTTACGTTTTATTTGTTAATTATAGAGATACGTTGTATCCTGTTATGTTATGTCTTTTCAAAAGGGGAAGTTGGTCTATGGGTGTGTTTACATAATCACGACATTATATTTGACAAAATTTGGCGTAAAGAGAGTGAAAAGCAAGGGGGGAAATAAACGAGAAGATGAAGAAAGGTAAACAAAGAATAACATTAACAAAGACAGAAAGAGAAAATGAAAAATAATATCACACGGATAGATAGAAAAGATGGTACAAGGAAAAACGAAAAAAAACATCAGGGAAGAATAACAAATTGAAAGAAAGAAGAGAAGATGATAGACTGCAAGCAAAATAAGAAATAAGTTAGAAAAAGAATATGAGAGGAAGGTAGTTAAATGAATACAGAAAGAAAGATATATAAGAATGTCATAAAAGGAAAATGCAAAGATTTTTTTAAATTTCTTTAACAAAGTAAAGTTGTAAAAAAACGATAAGAATGGATTTCTTGGAATAAAAGAGGAATGGAAAACAAACAAAAAACAACAAAGAACAAATGGAAACGAGAACAAAATATTGGAACAAAACAAATCTATGACTCGACGATCAGGCCCGTGCTGTCATAGAAAGTTTTAGTAACAGGAACGGTTCACGTTGCTATGGCATTGCCGGTCTTATCAGGGTAAAAATTGCGATGGGTGTGAAAGCAAACAAACGGTATCTATATGGAGCAGGATCAGTCTTACGTAGACAGGTCTAAGAAAGTGAGTGAGAATGGGATCTAACTTGAATAAAACCATCGATTTTGATTGATGGATAGAAGAAAATGGCCGCAGAATCAAAATATATTATGGCACATGTGGTTGTTATACGAGCAAAAGAAAATAAAATCCTTTGCTGCAGCATGTTTAGAATGGTTCCGATCTAATTTTCCGTGTTTCCAGGCTACAACCATATTTATTCAGATAACTTTATTTGATACATTCTAGCCGACAATGACCACGGAGGAATCGGTGAGGTAGTCATGCACCTTGCCATCGGTATGGAAAATCCTCCATTTTGTAACGTCTCGTCCGATAGGGTCGGAAGCAAGAGGAGGAAGATTGGAAAGCGACACGACATTGTCCTCGGAAAAAGGGTACCGAATCATTCCATGGTCTACTTCAGAGGAAAGACCTATGAATACGGGCCAAGTAATTGGGTTCTACGCGAAGGAGGACTAGGTAGAGTCGACCCTCTCAAATGCCCTGTGGTATCTTCCAAGGCAGGGCGCAGCGACTGCACAGAGGGTCAGGCGACAAGACTGGCGGTGTGGTGGCAGGGAAGAAGAGGTTACCATTTCTACACTCATAACTGTCATTATTTCGCTGATTGGCTAATCAATAAACTAACGCATAATCTTTGTTACGACTTAACACTTTGAAACGTTAAAAACAAATCAAGTAAGTTTTTTTCAAATAAGGAAAAAGGATATATATATATATAATCTTTTCTTTTTGAGGAAAAGAAAAGAAACTCAGAAATAATTAAGTTTGCTTTACTTATGGTTTTCGCCCGTTATCTTTACAGCTACAATTATGCTCCTGTGTACCATAACCGTCGTTCTTGTATAAAATGAAACGATGGAAGAAAAAAGAAACACCGACAACAACAATAACAAAAGAAAAAAGCCAATTTGTTTGAGAAGGAATTTAAATAGAGATCTATTACTTGAGAGGAAATACTCCGTGAAAGTTATCATGTGACATTAGGTACATTATATGTTTATTATATACGTCAGGCATACATAACCATTCGTTATTCATTTAATCAGGAGACTAGGACCAAATCTTTGTACATGTACATGCCTATATTCAAGCTTTTCATTTACAGATATAAATTTACGCTTTTTGTAAAGATGAGCCTTACCACTTATCGTATCATCTTACGAGAATAGATATATCTGCCAACAGGCTATGCTATAATACGTTGATATGCATTTGTTTGCGTTGATCATTAATTGGACTTGAAAATAAATGATGCTTGATACGTGATAAAATTGTACTTGTATAATGTAACAAATTTCTTTGCAAAGTAAGTGAAATACTAAATAAATATAATAATGATGTTGTAAATAGGCACCAATAGTTTCATAATAAATTACGTAAGTCTAACCTAATCAACATTCCATTTTGAATAAGGTACAAAATTGTCCATATGTATCATTTTCTGTTTTATATTACTGTTTCCCCTTTTTAAAATTGTCAATGGTATCAAATATTTTAAATGTCACGTTTATATGCATCCGTATGCTTTGATCTTTAATTTGACTTGAAAAGAAATTATGCTTGATACGTGATAAAAATGTACTCGTATAAAGTAAAAAATTTCATTGTAAAGTTAGTGAGAAATAAATATCATAATGATGTAGTACATAGGCACCAATAGCTTCATAATAACTTACGTAAGTTTAATCGAACCAACATTTCATTTTGAATAAGGTAACAAACTATCCATATGTATCATGTTTTGTTTTATATCATTGTTTCCCATTTTTTTTTAGAATTTTCAATGGTATCAAATGTTTTACATGTCAAGTTCATGCGTAAACTTAACTTAATGATTCACATTCAGCTATGATTATTTGTCTTTAAGTGTAAAATGTAAAATTTGACCTTACTCATGTTACTGTAATAGTCTTATATTTTATAACATGTTTCTTAGTAAAAGAAATTATACGTCATTGAAATATGAAATTTAATGTAATATCAAAATATAGCATGACTTACAAAATACTGTTGATCATTTATCACTGCACCTGTCTGTTACATGCGCTCACAAACACGAAATAGGGAGAAAGAGAGAGAGAGAGAAAAGGAGAGAGAGAGAGAAAAGGAGAGAGAGAGAGAGAGGCTTAGAGAGAGGGAAATGAAGTTTGTGTGGGGTGTGTGCGAAAGATGAAGAGAAATTGAACAAAAGGAATGCGTGCGGGTGAGGATATGCATGCAAGAGAGAGAGAGAGAGAGAGAGAGAAAGAAAGAGAAAGAGAAAAGTAAGGGGGAAGGGGGGGGGATAGGGGGATAGGGGGTAATACATACAGGGTAAATGGCAAATGGAGCAAAGGGAAGCACCATAAACAACCGAAATAGATTTTTTGTTTCTGCCATCTGACGGTGGTAGAGGTTCATGCAAATCCCCCGCCCCATCCTCCCTCACTGTCTTGTGCCGAATGATGACAGTGTCATAGTTCGCACCACGCCCAAACCTTGCATCACCCCTTTTATCTCCAGGGATAACACTAACTCTTGCAGCAAAGATTCGCTTAATAATGAAATATTAAAAGGAGCTAAATTGCGATAAACTGTCATATTATTTTGGCTGAGTTATAAAAGAATTCAATCCTGCACCTGTATTACAATTTTGGCGTGGGATTGCCTGGCCTCAAACCAAATTGGTTAGTCAAAGCTGGAAAATAATATACACGATATGTACCAATACATGAGAAAGAAAGAGAGGCAGATAGAGAGAGAGAGAGAGAGAGAGAGAGAGAGAGAGAGAGAGAGATAGGAAGTATTGAATGGAGTGTGGATAGAGAGAGGGGAGGTGAGAATGAAAGTTTATTCAAGAGTGTAAATTACAAAGGAGAGGGAGAAAGAGAGGGAGAGAACGAGAGAAGTTTTAAAGTGATAGACAGATAGAGCGACAAAATAGAGAGACAATGAGAGAAAGAGAGAGAGAGAGAGAGAGAAAGGGAAAAGAGAGAAAGAGATAGAAGTAGAAGGAGAAGAGAAAGGAAGGGAGAGAAATGAAGGGAAAAGAGAACACCATATTGCAAACATCCCACGCATTTTCTCGGCAGTGGGTACCTTAATAGAGAAAAAAACGTTTTCTTTTGCGAAGGTCAAGTAGATCGATTCATCTGGGTAAGAAAGAAACGAGAAGTTAGGATTGTTACCCCCTTGGCACTGACTTGACACGTCTGTCCACCCTCTGGCTTCGACAGATGTTGCATTTTGTGACAGACACTTGCCAGATTTGACCTCGAGAGATTCAGTCAAGATTGAAAGAAGCCTGTCTGTTCCATAACTTCCATTTACCCTTTGTTACGTCGGATGAAGAAAAATTTAAAAATTCTTAGTACGAATCCTTTCAACCATTCAAAGCTCAAAACACCCACGCAATTTAATTTGTTTTTAGTTTTTTATTTACGTTTTCAGTGAATGTGGAATTCTGACTTTCGACTCAAGGGGCTTCGTGTCCAAAGTATTCACGTCTGGTTATTCCACCTTGAAATCTTTGATGCTAACCTATTTGCCTTTTGAATGGCATTTGACAATTAATTCTAAATAGCTTTACAAGACGTGATAACGTTACTTAACCTAATCTTCATAACATTTCATAACTTTAAGTAGCAAAAACTGATTGATTGATTTGTTTCATCATCATTAATTGAATGAAAACTACCCCAAAGGACAATTACCCCCTGGAATATTAACCCCCGGAGAATCACCCCCCCGAGGACAACTACCCCCAAGGACAATTACCCCCCGGAAAATTACCCCCGGAAAATTACCCCCCGAGGACAATTACCCACCGAGGACAACTACCCCCTGAGGACAACTACCCCCCGAGGACAACTACCCCCGATGACAATTACCCCCTAGCACAATTACCCCCCCGAGGACAATTACCCCGCCCCCCCCCCGAGGACAATTACCCCCGATGATAATTACCCCCGATGACAATTAACCCCCCGAGGACAACTACCCCCGTGGACAATCAGGATTCAATAGCAGAAGACGATCTGACACATTGAGAGATAGCTACGAGCCCATAAGATCCCCTGCATGAACCCATATTCTTCAAATACTATAGCACGTTGTCTTCTTCATTACTACACAAGGATGTACGTTTTAGGTAATTGTACAGCGCTTTTCAAAATGCATAGAAATACATATCTCTGGAGCAGCGTCATTTTAACTTTTTGTTAGTCACGGTACCCTCTTAAGAAATGAAAAGTTTCTCCCAAATCCCAAAGTCTTTACAGACTATTAATTTTGCATGACTCTGGCTCTCGTCAAGTGCTATGCACACACGTATGGGCACATTTAAGAATAAAAAGGAGAAGACATTTTCAAACTGGTAAAAAAATTAGTTTGTAATCCACACACTAGAAACTATTTAAAGTACTGTATGCGGGCACCTTACCGCCGAATGTACATACATAAAAAGTGATATATTCGGTCATGACCTCGATACACGAATATGAGGATATTCGGGCCTCTCGTTGCCCTTATTTGCCTTGCTGTCAAAATATTGTCAGCCAGCGACGAAGGAAGACACTTTAGTATCTTCAAAATTTTATTTTCTCATGTAATTACATATTTTAACCGTTTCTGGTATTTGATTTTTTTACAACATCAACGTTTTCCAAATCAGTTTCTTGCGTTGAAAAACGCTGTGCTGGAGTTGTGAAATCAAATGAGATAAATTACCAGAGAGCAAATATTTATTTTCTTTTGAAATGGCACCGTACATATAAATTGAAGGCAATTTCTTTTTCAAAATAATTTAACGTACACGAAAACATATACTTCAGCATGACAACATAAATATATAGATAACGTGAAGAAAGCCTTAATTATGGATCATGGCATGGATGAGCAGGCACGTAGACACGGGGGGCACGGGGGGGGGGGCACGTGCCCCAAACTTTTTTCCAAGATCGGTTGAACTTTTTTAGACCCCTCCTCAGGACGTCGATCGAAACACATGTATGTGCCCCCCCAAAAAAAAAAAAAAAAAAAAAAAAAAACCCATCAAGCTCTGGCTACGGCCCTGTGGATTAGGGCCCATTATACATACAAAGACAAGTGCACGATCAGCTGATTAAAAAAGTTACAGAGGGTGCATAAAGGAAATCTTGCATCCTAATTTCTTTGTTGTGCTATTGATGGTGAGAGAGGCTGTAATGCGTACTCATCTGCGCACAATGAATTGTTCAATTTCTAAGAAATGTATTTCTGTTCTTTACTCGGTAGCAAAACTACAGGGGAATTGGGCAACCTCCACCCCTCCCCCCAATATCGAATTGAATAATTTGAAAAGACTGACATGAACTTCATAAATAACAAAGAAAATGAAGGTTTATGCAATTTCCTGCAAAGAGCAATTTGGAGAGAAGCTTGCGTTATACTTCACAGTGTTATAAATTCCTCGGGGGTGATTGTCACTGTCCTCGGGGGGGGGGGGGGAGTTGTCCTCGAAGAGGGGAGGGGTAGTTGTCCTCGGGGATAATTGTCCTCGGGGGAAGTTTTCCTGGGGGATAGTTGTCCTTAAGGGTAATAATAATAATAATAATAATAATAATAATAATAATAATAACGTTTTATTTACCCAGGGTAGCCACTTCAGTTAAACTGCTCTTCCAGCGGGCCCTGCATAATATAATATGTTATTACTACCCTTCTCCAATCTAATATGCTGAGCGCCTAGCTAGAAGGCAGAAGGTCCCATTGTTATAAATCTTTGGTATGACTCGGCCGCGGTTCGAACCCACGACCTCCCGTTCATGAGGCGGGCGCTCTAACCACTGAGCCACCATGCCCAGTAGTGTCCATGGGGGTAATTGTCCTCGGGGGGTAGTTGTCCTCGAGGGGTAATTGACCTCGGAGGTAGTTGTCCTTGGGAGTTAATTGTCCTCGCGGGGTAATTGTCCTTGGGGGTAGTTGTCCTCGGGGGTAATTGTCCCCGGGGGGTAGTTGTCCTCAGGGGGTAATTCTCCGGGGGGTAATTTTCCGGGGGGGGGGGGGTAATTGTCCTTGGGGGATAATTGTCCTCGAGGGGTAATTCTCCGGGGGTAATTTTCCGGGGAGTAATCGTCCTATGAGGGTAGTTTTCCGGGGGGTAATTTTCCTTGGGGGTAGTTGTCCTCGGGGGTAATTGTCCCCGGGGGTAGTTGTCCTCAGGGGGTAATTCTCCGGGGGGGGGGGGGTAATTGTCCTCGAGGGGTAATTCTCCGGGGGGTAATTTTCCGGGGAGTAATCGTCCTACGAGGGTAGTTTTCCGGGGGGTAATTTTCCGGGGGGGGGGGGGGTGATTGCCCAGGGGGTAATTAGCCTGATACGGGTAAGGAGTGCCAAGTGTTAAGTATTGGTGTTTACTGCAAGGTTCTGGAATCATCAAAATGACAAGAAACTTGGTTGATTGAGGTGTCATATGAAAGGGCTAAAATAAACTTTCTAGGAATGTATTTTCCTTTTGAAATTCAGATACCGTCCGCCGAATAACTGTTTGGTACCCTCTCTTCAATTTGTTTTAATTGCTCATGCCTGAAATATGCATCATATAAGTTGCATCAAATGAAAGAAGGGGATCCCAGCTTTAAAAAGATGTGTCATTTATTAATTATAATTGTTATTAATTAATGATAAAACACCGATAAATCCCGGTTTCGTTTTCTCTGGGACGCACTGTACAGGCTACATGAATTTCAACATCGTCTTCAAAATCCTTTTTTGTTATGGTATAGATGTTAACCAATAGTTTAGTCTCACCTTTTAGTGGATTACTTTCATTATATCTGTTGATCTAGAATGCTATGATTTACACAAAATACATGAGCAGAAATAGCCAAAGGTAACAGAAAACTTTGAGTCAATATTTGTTGCATGCACTATGCCATTCATGGATAGAACTAATCTGTAATGCTATTTGTGAAACAATGAAAGGGTGAAAGAAAGAATAATTGACGCCAATTTGGGGAGGCAAGGCTGAGTTCCTTAGATTTCGAGAACATTATTTTACTTGTATTATGTCTTTGTTTTTGCATCCTTAATGTTATTGTTATTGTTATTATTATCATTATTATCATAACAATTATCATTATTATTATCTTTATGTTTTTGTTGTTATTAATTTTTATTGTTACTAGTATTATTATCCTTATAATTATTATTATTAGTTTAGTAGAACAAGAAGTAGAGGTAGTAGACTAATCGTATTAATGTACATTTTATTTGTTTTTTTTTTATGTTGATTTCTGGTCAGAGATTGTCGGATGTAAATCAAGACCCCAAACTCCAATAACATATTTTGCCTATTCGAATGGGGGAGGGGGACTGGATTCATACGTTAACAAACTTTTTGATCATGAGCGTGAGATACAGATGTCGTGTAGACAAACAAGCTATCATCTGGTTTTATTATTATACAGCGGGGATAATTTAGGGAATTTCTAGCTTATAATTTGTTATCCATGTATACTTCCTCGTCAATCGATATGTCCTTCAAAAACAAAAGAAACATAAAATGACATTGGATATCAGGAACATTGCCAACCTAGATGAGGAAATGTCCCTCCCACCTTCCTGTGCTAACCTAATGATCTCAATTCTTTTAATGTTTTGAATTGAAAATCTTGACAAAGAAAAAGATAACATAAATATGCCCTATCCGGGAAAACATTATGACAGCCAAGTTGCACTCTTTACCACAGTTAGATTTCTATCTAATGCTACCTGTGATAAACGTGTCAAAACATAAAAGATAACGTCAAGTACAGGTCATGCGATTACATTCTCGAAGGATGCGCCCCCTCACTTTGAGGTGATGACCATTTTTTAATTTTGATCTCCTTTTTTAATGACATGCTTGATCCGCCCATTAACCTGGTTCGAGGAAATGAGGGACGAGTGGATAAAAGAAGTCTGAAGTTTGTTTTCAATCATTTCGGAGAGAAACAGTCGACGACGGGAAGACTTCACCCTGTTTGAAAAATCATCACTAAATTATCAATATAGTGGCGGTACAGAAAGACCAGACAGACCTGCTCAGAGAAGATGAAGTTGACAATTTGTTTGATCATATCGGCGTTTCTTTTCACGCATACCGTCGGGGCATTCCGAGAGTTCAGGCACGACATCCGTAAGTTGATAACAAAGAAGTTACCACGTATTCGCTTTCTTCTTTCTTAACTCTTAGTTAACAGCAATTTGAGGGGATGTGATAAGTATTGCTATATGATTTATTATTGATTTAGAATAGCCTGAGGATAAATAGAAGATTAAAGAATAACAATAAAAGGAGAAAAGCAATAGAATAATGGATAACTTATAAATAGTGGAAGAGAGAAAAATTTTCTTTTGACAAAGTAAAGTTGTAAAAAGACGAAAAACTAAGGAATGATACAAAGCAAATGAAAACAGAGCATTAAGTAGAATGGTAGTAGAATGGTTTTTATTTGACAACTTCAAAATGGTAGCCCGAAAGCTAATTTACATTGCAAGTTTTACAAGTATTAAAAAGCATTTCAACAAAACTTAGATATAGACAAGTACACATAATACACAGTCGGGTAGATTATAACTAATTACATATTCCCTACTTGCAAACAAATTGATGATACAAATAAAATAGATTCGGCATTATTATTATTTCTGTAATCATTGTTAAGTGAGGAATATTCATATTTTAAATATACATTGAGGCTGATTAATTGAGTTATAACAAGTAAGTACTGAAGATTTGTTTAACTTCGAACCGTAATGCGCATTAAACGAGAAAAATTAATGATAATTTTGTGAAGGAAACAAAACATGACGATCAGGCCCATGCTGTCATAGCAACATAAACGGTTCATGTTGCTATGGTTTTGCGCGTCTCATCATGGTAAAAATTGTGATGAGTGTGAAGGCAAACTAACAGTACTAACAATGGATGGGTCCAGTGGATCGGTCTAGCGTAGACAGGTCCAACGAGGTGAGTGAGGATGGAGTCTCACTTGAATAAAATCATCGATTTTAATAGTATTTTTTTCCGATATTTAACCTATCATGCATGTAAGATATGCCCGGAAAATTATGGCATATGTGGTTTTTATTCAAGCAAAAGAAAATGAAACCCTTTGCAGCATGGTTTACATGGTTCAATTCCAGTTTTTTTTTTTTGCTACCATAACCAAAGATTTTCTTTAAATATTTTTCTGTATACGAAAGGAAGCTGATCGATACGGTCTCCAGGCTACAGCCATATTTATTCTTATAACTTTATTTGATATTTTTTAGACGACCACGGAGGATACGGTTGGACCGTCGAGCATCTTTCCATCGGTTTTTTTTTCCTCGATTGTAACGTCCCGCCCGCTTACCGAGGTTTAAAATATAAAAAGGGGAAGCGAGACGTTCGCCTCGGGAAAAAGGTATTGAATCATTCCATGGTGTACTTCAGAGGAAAGACCTATGAGTTCGGTGCCAATAGTCTGGTCCTACACGAAGGAGGAATAGGAAGAACCAACCCTCACAGCTGCCCTACAGTGAAACGTTCCTGGGCTGGACGCAGCCGTTGCACAGAGGAACAGGCGACAGATCTGGCGGAGTGGTATCATCGGAACCATAATTACAATTTAATCACTCAAAACTGTCATAATTTCGCTGAGTGGCTAATCAATAGACTTTTGAACAATGCTTGTACCAGGTAATGAGTGACGTGTTAATGAGAGTTTGTATTATGACTATGAGATTCGAGAGCCAATTACCATGAAAACCGTGAGGGAAGAGTACAATTGAATATATTACGTGTATGTGAGAAAACAAGCAAAGGAAGAAAAGATGGAAACAGTATCTACATATGAATCCGAAGTAAAATACAATAATTAACTGTTTAAATAGGAAAAAGAATACGTGTGACATAACAAAAAAGAAGAAAAAACACAGAAATATTCAAATTGGCTTAAATGGTTTTCCTCCCTTAACTTTCTTTGCATCTGCAACAATGCTTTTATGTACCAAAACCCTCGTTCTTGTACAGAGTGAAACGATGCAAGAAAAAAGAAACAACGACGATAATATCATTAATATAACCAATACGTTTGAGAAGGAATTTAAAATATTTGAGAGAAAATACTCCCTGAAAGTTATCATGTGACATGAATTACATTATACGTCAGGCGCAGATATGAAATAAACATTCGTTCGTTATTCGGTTAATCAGGATAGTGAGAAGAATTTGATGTAAATAATTATGACTATAGTCAAGCTTTGCATAGGTTTCTCCGTACTGTATACGCTTTTTCTGTAGATGAGCCCGTACCACTTTTATCGTATTATCTCAAGAGAATACATATATCTGCCTACAGGCTTTTTTAAAAAATACGTTGATATGCATCTGTATGCTTTAGTCTTTAGAAGTGCTTAAAAAGTATTGATACTTGTGTAACAAGTTCTTTGTAAAGTTGGTCAGATACTAAATAAAAATGATAATGATGTTGTACATAGGCTCAGGGGCGTACGCAGGGGGGGGGGGTTGTATTTTTATGTGTGTAAACCCCCCTAAAACAACCTAACCCCCCCATTTGGTTTTTTTTTTAAAAATTTTATTATATATTATTTAAAAAAAAAAATATATATATATATATATGCCCACGGCTAACCTAAAAAAGGTGACCTTACCCCTCCCCCCCACGAAGAAAAATGTCAAAATTTCGAGACAAAAAAAAAAAAAAAGTGTCCGCTTACCCCCCCCCCCCCCACTGAGCGACTTTTCGGCCGGCGCGATTTTAAATTTTTCGGGAGCAAAATATTTTGGGCCCGATTTTAAAACCCCCCCCCTTGAAAAAATCCTGCGTACGCCCCTGCATAGGCTCCATAATAACTTTCGTATATTAAACCGAATTAACATACCGTTTGAAATATGGTAACAACTTATCCATATGTTTCCTTTTCTGTTTCATATACTATTTCCTCTTTTGGTATTTTCAATGGTATACATATTCTACATGTCAAATTCTTGTGTAAACCTAACTTAAAGGGATAGTTGAGTTACGTTGCAAAGGGCGCTACACAAAATATTTTTTGGTGAGATAATGAATAAGTGAGTGTCTATTTTGAAAGAACATAAAATTTAAATGACAAAATCATCTTTGTTTGATCAAAATCGGTTCAGAGACAGCTGAAATATCCATAAATATAACGATTTCTAATATTTGTGTACAACCACAAATATTCGATGATTTAAAAAAAAATACCGTTAAAAAACGGCCTTTTACGTCGTATTTCAGCCAATGCCGATGTTGGCTTTTTTGTTGGCTTTTTCGTGTTGTTTATATTACACACAACCAGCCAGCCCATGTATTGTTATTTTTAATTAATTAATTGATTAATTAACGGTCACCGTATTTTTTTTTAAAGTGGAGGTGAATTGGTATGATCGTATTGGCTAAATTTCACACATCTGGGGTCTAAAATTACCTAAAAAAGGGCAGTAGAAATGTCATAGATATTAATATAAGGGCGATAACCATGCACTTTGAAGGCATTTGCGATCTGAAAACAGAACTCAACTATCCCTTTAAGGATTCATATACGGATATGATTACATGTTTTAAAGGTACACGTACTATGTCCCATTTGCAGGCCAAACAAATAAAAGGTTAAATTCCAAAGGAATTTGAAAGATAATATTAATTTAGAAATTCCCTATAAAAAGGGGGGCTTGAAAATATCTTTAAGTGGGACAATAACCACTATTAGTTGTCGAATCGACTTAAGAGCTATAGAGCCAGTAAGTAATGGTCTGATTTTCAGACCATTGTACCGAAAGGTCGTACGTTTTATGCTGCGTAAAGATTCAATCAGTTTAATTTTGGCCATTACAAGAAGTGGGTTATTGATGAAGACAAATGCTCATGTACCCTTTACAGCTCATTTTATGTATGTTATTACCAAAGAAGAAAAAAAAGCCAGTCCGTCACTCAATATTGTCTGACAGTGAAGTCTAGCAAGTAAATATGTTTCCTTGCATAATTTGAATATTAGGACACTGCTGACGTTTAAATTTCACAGATAGGACATACATGACATAATCATAATTCTTGCAAAGTTCTACAGAATTTGATGTTGGCTGCAAAAGGGACATAGTATCTTTAAAGTGTAAAATGTAAAATTTGACCATGATAGTGATTTTACTGTGATAGCCCTATATTTCCAGCATGTTTCATCCTAAAAGAAACGATACGTCATTGCGATATGAAATTTAATTTAAAATTAAAATAAAGCATGACTTTGAAAAAATGTTGTTCATTCATCATGTAACATGTCTGTCACATGCACTCACTGCTAAACAGAGGTGGAGAGAGAGAGAGAGAGAGGGAGAGAAAGGAATGAAGTTTGTATGGGGGAATGTGTGTATGGGTATGTGTGTGTGTGTTTAAGAGAGACAGAGAGAGAGAGGATGGCGGGAAGTAAAGTGTAAGCTCGGGTGGATGTGCGTAATAAAAAAGAGAAGATAGTGGAACAAAGGGTTTGCATGCGGGTGAGGGTGTGTGTGTGTGTGCGAGAGAGAGAGAGAGAGAGAGAGAGAGAGAGTGAGAGAATAAAAACAAGAAAGGGCAGCTCAACGTTTAAAAATGTCCGACTTCCAAATTAAATGTACCCTTAGATTTGAAGTTGCTTAAAGGCATCGTTTACAATCATATGTTAAATCTGAGATGCATGGCCCTACGTGTAAGTGTCTTTGATATGGTGTAATATTGAATCCCTAAAAAAAATGCTCCTCAAATTGAGCATGTTGTGCCTCAAAAAAGCAAAAATTTGGAGTGACCGGTTTATTACCATACTCATTTTCCTTGCTAGACTGTAGTGATATAAATTCCGTTAGGAAAACGCAAAATTTGATTTCGATTTCAAATCATTAATTTCTTGATAATCAGACAGGCAATTGGCTTGTAAAAATCACGGGGTTCCTGACTGACCAAAAGGTTGATAATTATCATTGTAGCATGAGCTAAATCCAGGATTTTGTTTTAGAATTTGAGACAAATTACCCAATCCCTTTAAAGGGTGACATGCAGAGATGTGGACAGGTCACAGAGTCGGAGACAGGTTATATTAGGTCATCAGAGTGCAATTAGAGTGGGAGGGTGGGGGGGGGGGGAGAAGAACCTTTATTCTGCGTCCACCTTTATACGTAATGTACGTGCAACTGATATCCAGGGGTGTCGCTAGACCTCTTTCAGTGTGTGTTGGAGGGGGGGGGGGGTTAGAAGCCACCGATTACCGACAAAACTAGCCACCAATTACCGAAAAATTTAATAATGACTATACCTATGTGCCAATGTCTACACATTTAACCCTTTAAACCCTGGGCGCGAACTTTTTATTCCCTGCAGTGACGATTTCGAGAGAGACTACAACTATAAAACTAGTACTTTTTCGGAGTTTAACCTTCCTATAAAATTAGCTTAAGAAAACAAGTGCTTATATATCACTGTACAGCCATTCGAACCGTAGAGTTTACAGTCACAAGCGCAACACTCTTTCCGATCACGAACACCGATTGTTTGCTCACTCTGGTTGCATATTTTTTAAATATAGCTACGATGCTGACTATTCTTGAAGAAAAGAATAACTTTTTGAGGTTCAGGAAATTTGCTCATGCAAATGCAGAAAAAAGCACGTGATTTTTAGCTTTTTTGGGGAGTGGGGGGGGGGGGGGGGGGGTGCAAATTTTCAAATTTTTGAGGGCCAAAACAAAAATGTGCTCCCTACCCCCCCCCCCCCCCCCCACTGAGCGGCTTTTCGGCCAGCGCGATTTAGAAATTTTAGGGAGCAAAAAAAATAAAAATAATAATGATCACTATCCCCCCCCCTGACCGACTTCAGAAATGCGCAATTTTCAGAATTTCGGGAACAAAAAAAATTGGGCCCCCTCCCCTGAGAAATCCTGGATCCGCGCCTGTGCGCACATAGTGAGCACATTTTTTTTTTTTTTGGGGGGGGAGGGGGGGTCCTCGAAAATTTTAAAATTTGCACCGCCTTCTTGAGCGCCAGGGGGGGGGGTGGGGGCCAACCCCCCAAAAAGGTAAAAATCGCGTGATTTTGCATGATTTTTTTTCTCAAGGGGGGGGGGGCGGGCCCCCCGGCCCCTTCCCCCCTGGATCCGCCACTGCACGGCCGACCGACACTACATCTCACCGAGTTCAAACTTCTGCGTTGATATAGTACACGAGGATAGACCCAGCTAACCCAACACCCCCTCCCTCTTTCTCTCTCTCTTACTCTCACCCCTCCTCTCTCAGGCTCTTACCCCATCTTTCTCCTTTCTTTCATCCCCCTTTACTTTTGTTTAATTTTCTCTTTTTCCCTCAAACAACATACAACTTTGAGTCAATGTCTGTTGCATGCAATGTGCCGTTCATGGAAAGGACCAATTTGAATTCTCTTTGTGAAAGAAAGAATAATTGATGCCAATTTGAGGATGCGAGGCTGAGTTATTTAGATCTTTAGAAAATTATGAGTTATTCTATGTTCATGAACGCCTATTTTACTGGTATTCTGTTTTTCGTTTTTTTGCCGCCTTATGATTATTATCATGACTATTATCATTATTATCATTACAATTATTACTACTTTTATGTTATTTTGGTTATCATTATCGTTGTAATTTATATTATAATCATTATTATTATAATTTGTTATATATTATTGTTATTTATTATTATTCTTCTAATTAATATTATCATTTTTTATTTTTATTACAATAATAATAATAATTATTATTATTATTACTATTACAATTATTATAATTCTTCTTCTTCTTCTTCTTCTTCTTCTTATTATTATTATTATTATTCTTTTTCTTATTATTATTATCATTATTAGTCTAGTAGTAGAAAAAGAAAAAGTAGTAGTAGTAGTAGTAGTAGTAATAGTAGTGACCATGAGTGTCGATCCCGGGGGGGGGGGGGATGGGGGGGATATATCCCCCCCCCCAATATTTCAGGTGGGGGGATGGCCTGTACAGTCATCCCCCCAATAATTATTCCTCAAAAAAAAAAAATTAAGAGAAAAATTAATGA